GGCAACCACCATCACCACACAGTTGCATCGTGCATGGTGGGAGCAAGGATGGGAGTTATCCACCCAATATATAGAATAAGCTGCATTAAGTACATTAGTTCTCAGTCCTCAGCAAAAGGATGTAGAAATTTCCCTGCCCCTAAATCAAATGGGTACATGAGACAACAAAAATCATTCTACACCGTAATGGATGCAACTTTTAAAGTGATTTCTGCACAAATGAACCAGACTGTACAATGAAATTTTGGAATATCAGAGAACGAAGCTGATATACAAAATTAAGTTGAAACATAATGTTTCTAATAAATTATATAATCAGAGGATTTAATGTACAAAGTTACTTTTGACAATCACTACTCTCGGATATCTTTAATTCAACAGGACAAAATATTTGTATAGTAAGCTGTGTCTCAACAGCATTATTGGAAGAACTCAAATTTCATGATGGATACAAGGAGCACAAAATAAAATATAGTAATATCTTATGGAAAAAGATGAAATCATGCTGTGATTATATTGAACATACCATAAACTCCTTCTAGACATAGAAACATTCTAGAGATATTTACAATAAATAGGTGCAATAGAAGTTAAAATAACAAGTTAGATCTGTGACGGAGAACATCATCATAATCTCCCAAAGCTGCTGGCAAACAAATAGTGGAGGCACATATCTCATATCAATTGGAAAACAATTGTAAGGCTGACAAAAAGAAGAAAATTCACCAGATATATAAGTGTTATGAGCTCTCCATCTGGTTTTAAAATATCAGCCATTTTCTTTGCCCAAGATCACCAGATATATAAGTGTTATGAGCTCTCCATCTGGTTTTAAAATATCAGCCATTTTCTTTGCCCAAGATGGCCTCATGCAAGGGTCTATGGCAGTCTCCATCTGGTTTTAAAATATCAGCCATTTTCTTTGCCCAAGATGGCCTCATGCAAGGGTCTATGGCAGGAAAAAAACTGCAATATTACACCCATATGATGAATTCAGATATAAGAATGAAAAGAGCGAGCATTCTAAAAGAAAGGAATGAAGCTTTACGTGTATTCAAAAACCATATCAAACAATTCCATTGGCTGCCAAGTGAAAAAATCTGCTGCCAAAAAGTTGAAATAATTTGCATTTGGCAAAGAGGATGACCACTGATTCAAAGAAAATAATAAAGGGTTAGAGGTAACAGAAATACCTAATTCCTCGCTATATCATACATAAATAAATAAGAGCACTACTATAATGTTGGATGTCCCTAAGAGCATACAATAAGAACAACGAGTACAGGATATGTGACAAAACTGGACAAGTTAACTGCAGGCGCAGGTTTTTCTGCTGGGCGAACCTGACATCAATATTTGAGAGTTAGTTTTGGTTCTGAAGTTTAAATAATAGGTCAAATATTTCTCAATCAACGAATGTGTCGCCATACTGACTTTGTCATGCATCTTAAACTTTTATTTATCAAATTAACTTATCAATTTATGTTCATAAATATATAGAGCCTTAAATTCAGGTTAATTTATCATCACATGAAGCCTAAGCTCATAGTCTAGGAAGCAAAAATAGGTGTCCCCCGGCATAAGCAAATGCTGCATATTTCATTAGAAGTGTTTTCACATATCTATATCATTTTATACCTCAAAATCTCTCCAAAATCTTTAAGCTAATTTACAGGTACCAGATCTATTAGTTTATTGCTCTCTTATAGAATCAAAGGAAAAAAATCATCTGCCTTTACCTTACGCTAATTAAATGTCCTCCTCCCCTTTCTCTTACAGGTCAGGTATGTTAAGACAAACAAAAAGAAGGCAGGGCTCTTTTGTGTCCAAATCTACACACACATGCATGCACGCATGTGTCGCGCGCCTATGCGGAAGCGTTCTCGCTCACCAAACAAGTCGTAAGCACGGGAGAAGAATAACCGATCACACACGAGCAAAATCCAAAATTAAAATACGACAGATCAATCACAAACACAAAGATATATGTGGTTCGACAATTTGCCTACGTTCACGGGGAGAGGATGACGAAGATTCTACTAAATCAAGGAGAGTACAAAGGGTTACAATCTCACAAAACTCACAAACTAACCATCAACCAAAGCTCTCAACTTGCTTTCAATATCTCCCTCTCATAACGCTCAAAAAGTCTCTCTAATCTCTGATTACAAATCTCCTTTTTTTGATGATCCTAATTTCTTCTAAGGCGTTCCATATATATAGAAAACCTAAAACCGAAATAAACTAGGAATTCTAAAACCAAAAACAAAACAAATTAGGAATCCTAATAACATGTTATCAAAACAGATTAAGAATCATGTTACCAAAATAAATTAGAAATTCTAATAACCTGTTACCAAAACAGATTAGGAACCTGCTATCCAATAATTCCTCTCATCAGCGAAAATTTTGACAGCACCTCGGCAACATAACAAGAGAGTTAGATCGCAATAAGAATTCTCGTTTCACTAAGAAAACAGGAACCAAAAGTAAAATATCTCAACAAAGTGGGATATCAGCTCTTTCTCTCATAAGTTCTAGGACTGACCTATCGAGGGAACCTAAATAAGCTATTACAAATCACACAAACAACGAGATAAAATAATTTTACATTGTTCGGCAAATTGCCTACGTCAACGGGGCAAGGAGGGGAGAGATCTATTATTAGAGAGAAAGAGAATACAAAATAGGGTTTACAATCACACAAGATCTCACAAATAAAACCCTCAATCAATCTCTTAATTCCTCTCTCAAAAGGACAGCCGCCTCTATAAGTCAGCACTGTTCTCTGTGTTTTCTTTTCTCAGCACGAAGCCCAAAAAAACACCGCACTCTCCTCTGCGCGAAGCCCTCTTTGCATGTCGCCCTGCCTTGCACAGCGCCTGTAGTGACTTCTCTCCTATGTGCCTCAATTTGTAATGCCAGAGTCTGCTAATGTCTGCCTCTAAAATAGCTAAAGCAACCTGACCAATCACGGTTCTCCCCTTCAGATAATACAAGTTTCGACTACGGACTCCCTTCATCACCACCAAAGATCCTTTAGTAACATTTGCTACAGTATCCTCAAATGTCACCTTGAATCCCTTCGCCTCTATAGCTCCAGCTAAGATAAAATTCTTCTTCAACTGAGAAACAAATCTCACCTCCTTTAATTCACGGACTATTCTATCGTGCATCTGAATACTCACAGTACATATCCCACAAATACCACATGATTAATCATTTTCCATGATAACAATACCCTAATCGAGTTTCTCAAATGATAAAAATCAATCTCGCCTAGGAGTCACATGATAAGTAGTGCCAGAATCAAACATCCAATCTGATGAATCCAAGTGGTTCACCTCAGGAGTAATCAATAGAGAAAATCTCGAATCATTGGAATCATCGCCTTTCGCAATATTCACATCATGGGCCTTCGGGCCCTTCTTCTTACTATTCTCCTTCACCTTGATCTTTGAACAGTCTCTCTTCCAATGTCCCTGCTCCTTGCAAAGTGCACATTGGTTTTTACTAGCTGGTAACTACCTCTTGACTTTAACCTTCCTCTATTACCATCTTTTGGATATGGGCTTCTTCTACTTATCGTCGATAAGGCCCCTCCTGAAGTACTAGCGTGGAAAGTCTTTTTGTTCTTCCTCCTCAAATCATAGTTTGTCAAAGCATTAGTAACTTTACTATAGCTGATAGAAGATCTCTCATTCAACAAAGTAAGTATGAAAGTATCATACTCCTCATCTGGTAAGGAGCCCAACAAAATAATCGTCTTGTACTCATCCGATATCTTCTCATCAACATTTGCCAAGTCCGACAATAACTTAGTATAATTGTTCACATGAGACGCTAGTGAGATGCCTCGGGATATTTAAAATCTGAACAATCTTCACAACAAGTACAAACGGTTCTCAACACTCTTCGTAAGGTACTTATTGTTAAGAATTTTCCACATCTTCATTGTAGATGTCACCCCAATCACATCATACTTCAATTCCTGTTCTAAAAAGGATCTGATCACCCCACAAGCGTTCCTATTCATCTTTTCTCATATCGCGTCTTCATATTTTGGTGGTCTCTCTTAGACCATGATGGTCCCCTCCAAATTCTGAGCATTGAGCGTATCTTGAACGTCGCTCATTCACAAACCAAAGTTGATCTTGCCGTCATACTTCACCATACTAATTTTGATTTTCTAAAAACTAACTTGGATTGTACTCGTTATCTCGCTGCTTTCACCAACTTCTTCACCCATACTCGTAAACTCTAAATTGCAAAGAAACATTCAAACTTTAAAAGAAATAAGAAATTACCAAACTGAACCCTAGATTGGATTCCAAATAGAACTCCTAACCACACGAGGAAAGTGAGATCTCTAACGACAACTTCAAATCCTATCTCCACCGAAGCCTAGAACTCTAAGAACCAAGTTTTCACGACGAATCTTCCTAAACCTAATGCCAAAACCCTAGATCTGAAATCTGAGCTCTGATACCAATTGTCGCGCGCCTATACGGAAGCGTGCTCTCTCACCAAACAAGTCGTAAGCACGGGAGAAGAATAACCAATCACACACGAGCATAATCCAAAACTGAAATACGACAGATCAATCACAAACACAAAGATATATGTGGTTCGACAATTGGAGATTCTACTAAATCAAGGAAAGTACAAAGGGTAATAGTCTCACAAAACTCACAAACTAACCATCAACCAAAACTCTCAACTTGCTCACAATATCTCCCTCTCGTAATGTTCAAAAAGTCTCTCTAATCTCTGATTATAACTCTCCTCTTTTTGATGATCCTAATCTCTTCTAAGGCGTTCCATATATATAGAAAACCTAAAACCAAAACAGACTAGGAATTCTAAAATAAAAAACAAAACAAATTAGGAATCCTAATAACCTGTTACCAAAACAGATTAAGAATCATGTTACCAAAATAGATTAGGAATCCTAATGACCTGTTACCAAAACAGATTAGGAACCTGCTATCCAACATCATGAACACACACATATGAACACACGCACACAGTTGAGTTTTTTTTTACAGATATAAGAGTTTGAGAGGTAAATTTATAAATATTCTCCCTCCGTCCCTCCCTCATCTCCACCCTCCAATCATCAAAAATCCGGCATCCTTCTCCTCTTCATCTTTCAGACCCAACATCGAACACTCTATCTCAAGCAGAGGAGTGAGTGGAGGAGAGGGAAGAGAGAGGAGAGGAAAGGGAGCGGAGAGAGGAGAGAAGTTGAGAAGGGCATTGAGATAGTCCCATTAGCAAGGGAAGTTTTGGACTTTGAGCATACACTTCAATCATAGGCCCAAAAATAGCACATATAAAAAAATTCTCTCTGTGATATATGATGTGCCTCATTCATCAAGAACTGATGTCAGCAAACAAACAGTACAAAAATAGCTATCATACAACATTCACATGAAGTATATTTTTCGATATGAAAAAGGAGAAAATTATCTCTCATCGGCATTTTGCTCAGTTTAACAAAGACTGCAAAAAGATTGCATCAATGTTGTTGCATTTATTTTTTATTTCTAAATGTCGTATGTTGACTTTTTGGTTTATCTTCGTGCACATTTCACAGCTGAAAGTCAACTGTAAGTGCATAATATCCTACAATATCAGCACGTCTTCCTAATGTTATGTTTCATTCCTTTCTGAAATTTATAGTCTTTATATGTTGTATTTAAGATTTTTTTCCGAGCATGAAATACCTGCATAGAGTAAACAGATGAATTGCACCGTGATAAAAAGTTTCATGTTTTCAGTATCTCCTCTAGTAATAATACCTCGTTAGCTTTCTTAACAGCAGTGCTTGATATATCCAAGCCTAAAACATGACGATCAGGGCTGGCCATAGCAACCACATCATACCCCTGACACACAGAACAGCAATTCAGTTAGAAAAGTCCAGCTACCGTAGAACAGTTGAAGGAAAAGGATAAGAATAAAATTGAAATTTTAAAGATTTACAAAGGCTAGCCTGGAATAAACAGCATAACCATATACGAATTATCTGACCATATGGCGGATAACATGTTACAATTGAAAGATCTTAATCTAATAATTAAAGCATTCACTTTACATGGAAAAACTACAAACACATACTTGCCAACTAATTATTGATTTTATTTATTATCATAAAAAAAGGCATAAATACAGTACATATTGGCAAGTAAATCATGTGCCATGTTTACTGCCTTTAGTTGACCTTTTAAACAAGGGAAAGGATCCTTTTAATAATATGTTTTATTTTCATCATCAACTTGAATCAATCAGTGATTAACTACTGGGCTAACAATAATATAGTGCATTATTTTTCCCTTTTGACTGAAGTGTCAAAATTAATTATTAATATAAACATTAAGTTTCAAACTGTTTATGATGGAAAAAGTCGACCTAAACCCCGAGAGAGTCTGTCATCTTTATATATAAATAGAGAATCTGTTCAGGACTCTCAATGTGCGAATAAACACAAATAAACTCAACTCTAGTTGTACATTACTCTCTAATACTCCACCTCAAGTAGGAGCATAGATGCCAATCATGTCCAGCTTGTTACAAAGAGTCATAAGAAAGTTGGTCGTCACAAGACCTTTATAAGAATATCAGCAATCTGATTACTGAGGCAAACATATGGAGTAACAATCTTCTTAGATTACAACGTATCCCAGATAAAGTTGACAGTCCACCTCTGTATGTTTGGAGCTTGAGGTGCGGTTCATGTAAGATTGTGTCGTTAGTTTGTTCGAATTGGTTCAGGTTAAGATTGTCATGTTTGTTTAATTTGGGCTGAACCATTTTACTTCCTAAAGAGGTGTTATGTTTGGTGAAGTTTATCTCTTTTGTTTGATATATTTTTATGATTGTATGATAATTGGATGATTTCTTCTGGAGGGTTTGGCATTTGATAGTAAGCTAAAGATTGTAGCTTTACGAGTTTTACTTAGTGCGGATTGGATTGAACTTGGGAGTTTGTGACAAAAATTTGATTCAGGTGAAGGTTGGATTCGAGTAAGAGATTGGTCAGGTTTGTTGGACTACTTGAAGGAGCTGGTTGCAGTTTGAGTTCACTTTTAGGTGGTATAAAATATAAATATGAGATGACGAGATTTTACGCAATTGCTTTTGCAACATCCGGTTCACTTTCATGTATGTATCCAAACTCGCAGTTGTTGATCAAGCACCAACTTGCATTAACTTCTTATCATAAAGAAATTAAACTATATTTGAATTTGTAGTATGTAGATGCAAAAAGTCAATAATGGAACAAGTTAATCTGTAATGAATTTCTAAAGCCTGCATATCATCAAAGAAAAGCTGAAAAAACCTTATTTATCTCTAACATAGAATGCTCCATAGGAAACCATTTATAAAGGTACTTACATTTTAACACTACTCAGGAATCTCTGATTAACAAAAGTCAAATGTCTTTGCATATAGTTGATAAGATTTAAAACGAAATGATAATACTCTTGTGTGGGATCAATAATTTTCAAACTACTAATATACAGCATACTGAATAGAGCCACTGGGATTGTACTCTAACAGGACACTCACGTTGTTCCTTTGAAAAGCATATGAGATAAAAGAAGTTTTATAAAACACTTCGGAGAAGATAAATCTTAAAAGTTGATTGCATTGAAGAGAATAAGAGCCTCACAGTGCCACATCCAGGGACCAATATGCGCCCTTTTGGAAGCGTTCCGGTTTCAAGGAGATGTAAAACTACAGGCGTTGGTTGACCCAGGTCCCATGGAGTAACTCCTTTCTCCCAGGATTTTTCCCAGCCATCTGACAAGTTAGAAACATAAACTCACTTGAGGCCAAAGGCCTAAGAAGCCTTCATTAATTATCAATTACAAGCTGAACATACAGATCACAAAATGAAAAAAATAAAGTTTATAAATGATAGATATCTGAAATAAATCGATTCTATCTTTATAAAAGCAAAAAAACACCAAAATATTAAAAATTATTAATGTCCTTGTCTTGAACATTTTTTCAGTTTACTCATTTAATGATATCTATCAAAAACTGTGGAGTCAGATACAAACTAGAGAGAAATCAACGAAGCACTTCGGAGTTATAGAATTGCTTGCAACATGATCATCATTTGCAACTCCTTAATACTGGTACTAATATCAAATGGACAATTTAAGATGAGAACAAAAAAGAATTCAAACTTTGAAAGGAAGAATATAGTTCTTTTTGGAATGAAGCCGAAAAATATTTTTCATCAGGTAGTGGTGCACTTTTAGGCTTCAACTGAATTTGAACCTACTTGCTGAAAGGAAGGGTTCTCAAATTGTCAACTCTAAGCTCAATTCTTCCATGCCCGTCTCACTGGTTTGCCTTTCATCATTATCATAATAGCATCAAACTCTTTACACCTCAAATTCAAATCAACCATGGAACACAATTGTGAAGACATGTAGCTTCAAGAATATTTTACAAAAATTCTGACTACTGTCAATCTGACCTCAAAGCTGTTATTATTGGTAAACATTCCCATCGGAGGAAAGTATCGACACCAGAAGAGTTGTCACAAAAACACGTAGAAAACTAGTAGGCCAATTGATTCTAGAAAAACCTGTACCAAACTGTTATGCAGTTTAATCTGACACCCCAAGCATCATCTAGGCTTAAGAATCTAGAAGAAAGGAGAAGACAATAACTCTCTTATAAAAATCTGAGACGCAAGACAAAAGATAACAAACAGATTCCCAGTAGAAACTTCTTCAACATGGAAGTTAGATGATCAGTATTCTCTGGTACATAGCTGCCTTGTATAGTGTTGAGAATCGTCGTCACTGTTTGGCTCAGAAGCCTGCTGAAATCAGTCCTGTTCTTCTCTCTAGTGCACCACCAAGAACACAAATGGAGAGCTCGCCACAATAGGGTGAGAGCACAAAGCTTGCAGGAGCACAAAGCTCAGATAAGTGAGAGGATGGATCACACAAAGCTCACAGGAGCACAAAGCTCAGATTTATCTTCACTCCCTCTTCTTCTCTCAGAGCTACTTCCTTCCCCTTCTCTTCAGAGCAACATCGATCTTATAGAAAAGGGGGTTAGCCGACACTTAGAGAAGAGCTAGGGTTAGGAGCCGACCTACACAAGTGGAAGATGGGACTCAAAGCTGCACAGGACCCCTATTGTGGCAAGCTCTCCCTTTGTGTTCTTGGTGGTGCACTATAGAGAAGAATAGGACTGATTTCAGCAAGCTTCTGAGCCAAACAGTGACGACGATTCTCGACAGTGGTATCAGAGCTCGGTTGGAGTCGTCGCCGCCCTTTCAAAACCGTCGGACCGCCGCCGAATCGCCGAGCAAGAGGGTAAGGTCGAAACCATCTCCTAGGGTTTCGCTCGGATATACTCTGGCCTTTGTTGAAAAATACAGTAATTGTTAAAAATTATAGTAAATCTTTAAGATTATCTTTTTTAAATTTTTGCTGCGTTTAACTGCTGAAATTATCTGCTGAAAAATCTTTTTTTAGTCCCTCTGCGGTTATCTGCTGAACATTTGTATTTTATTGTGTGCTTTTTCTATGTGAAAAATGTCTGCTGCTAATCAATATGGCATGGTTCAATATGGTATGGCTCCGTTCAACGAAAAATCTGATTTTAACATTTGGAAACAAAAAATAAAATGCATTTTAATTCAACAGAAGTCATTTAGGGTTGTTGGCCAGACTTATTTGACTTCTGACACTGAAGAAAAAAGAGCTGAAATGAACAAAAATGCTTGTTCCACAATTTATTTGAACTTATCTGACTCTGTGCTTAGAAAAGTTGGAATTATGAAATCTGCTAAAACCCTTTGGGATAAACTTGAAGAACTCTATACTGAAACCTCTTTGCCCAGTAAAATATTTTTGCTTGAATTTTTTTTCAAATTTAGATTGGATATGTCTAAAGACATTGAGGAGAACCTAGATGTTTTCACAAAACTTATTTCAGATATTAAGTTAACTGGTGAGAAACATATAGACAACTATACTCCTATTGCCCTTCTAAATGTTATTCCCGACTCATATAGTGATGTAAAATCTGCTATTAAATATGGTAGAGATGATATTACCCTTGACATTGTGATTAATGGTCTTAAGAGTAAGGAATTAAAACATTCTGGGGGAAATAAAAATTCTGGTGAGGTTATGCATGTGAGAGGTAGGCCTCAGAATAGGTCTAATAACCAAAAGAATGCTAGTAATGGGGAATCAAGTAAGAAAAAATTTGAAAATGGAAGGGGTAGATCTAAGTCCAGGTTTAAAACTAAAAAATTCTATAATTGTCATGAAACTGGTCACTTTATTAAAGATTGTCCTAAGCCTAAGAAAAATCAGCAAAATGAACATGCTAATATGGCTGTCTGTGAGGGGAAAATGGGTGAGATTTTCATGAGTAATAATCTGTGTGATTATGCATATTTGAACTCTGTGTTATTTGATCCTTTGTGTAAATCAGATTGGTTGGTAGACTCTGGTTGTACTTTTCATATGACTCCTTTTAAAAACTTGTTTTCAAACTACAAGAAAATAGAGAATGGCTTTGTGTCAATGGCAAATGAAAAGAAATGCAATGTTTTAGGAACTGGTGATGTATGCCTTAGGTTTTCCTCTGGTTCTGTGTTTACTTTGAAGGATGTTAGGCATGTTCCTGATTTACGTTATAACTTGATTTCTTGTTTATCTCTAGAAAATAATGGTTTGGAGGGAAAATGAGGTAAAGGGGTTATAAAAATTCTGAAAGGGTCTATTGTTGTTTTTACTATTGAAAAACAAAATAATTTGTATGTTTGTCATGCTGAACCTATGCTTGATTCTGTTAACTCTGTGATAGGTGATAAATCTGTTTTATGGAATAATAAATTAGGTCACATGAGTAATAAAGAATTAGAAATTTTGCATAAAGGAGGTCACTTTGATAGTGATAAAATATCCCCCATCCCTTTCTGTGAATCTTGTGTGCTAGGAAAATAACATAGGGTTACTTTTCCTACTTCTTCTTTTCCTAATCAGTCTAAGTGCACTAGTATACTTGAATATTTGCATGCTGATGTGTGGGGTCCCTCTAGTGAGCCTACACATGGAGGGAACCAATATTTTCTTTCCATAAATGATGATTATTCTAGGAAAGTTTGGGTTTTACTCATGAAACAAAAATCTAAAGTTTTTGATAAATTTAAAAGCTGAAAAATTATGATTGAAAACCAAACGGGAAAGAAAATTAAAACTCTTAGGACAGACAATGGTCTTGAGTTTTGTAACAAACAATTGAATGATTTGTGTACTACTTGGGATATTAAAAGGCATAAATCTGTTCCCTACATGAGGGCTATGTTGGCCACATCTGGGCTCTCCAAGAAGTTCTGGGGAGAAGCTGTTTGTATTGCGGCCTATTTGATTAATAGGTCTCCTTCTGTTCCCTTAGGAGGGAAATGCCCTGAATTTGTGTTCACGGACAAACCTCTTGATTTAAATAATTTGAGAATTTTCGGGAGTGCTGGCTATGTGCATCAAAAGATTAATAAGTTAGAACCTAGATCTAAGAAATTGTGTTTTCTTAGGATATCCTAAAGGAGTAAAAGGTTATAGGCTTTGGAATAAGAGTGAACCGGGGTTTAAGATAGTGATAAGCAGAGATGTTGTTTTTAATGAAAATGAATTTCCTTGTTTACCTTTACATGTTCCTATTCCTGAAAATGATGCTCCAAATGAGGTGGAGCAAAAGCCTATTATTAATCAACCCAAATCATTTCCTGAAGAAAAATTGAATGATATAATTATTGAAAATCAAGATGAGATTATTCCAAATGAGGTGGAGCATGATATGCAGGAAATAGATAACATGCATGATTTGAATGATTATCAACTCACTAGGGATAGAAATAAAAGAACCATTAGGAAACCTGAAAAATATAGAGATTGTAATTTGATTGATTGTAATATGTCTGAGTTTGCCTTTAATGTGTTTGAATCCATTGAGTGCAATGAACCTAAGACTTATAAAGAAGCATTAAGGTCAAAATATTCTGAAGAATGGATTAGTGCTATGAAGAGTGAGATGGAATCCCTAAGAATTAACCAAACATGGAAACTTGTTCCTAAACCTACTAGTTGTTCTGTAGTGGACTGTAAGTGGCTGTTTAAGGTGAAACAAGAATCTGAAAGTGTTAGGTTTAAGGCTAGGTTAGTAGCTAAGGGATTTACTCAAAAGGAGGGAATTGATTATGCTGAAATTTTTAATCTTGTTGTCAAATTCACTACTGTTAGAATTATGCTTGCTTTAGTTGCTTATTTTAATTGGAAATTAAAACAAATGGATGTAACTACTGCTTTCTTGCATGGTGATCTTGATAAAAATATTTATATGCACCAACCTGAGGGCTTTGTGGACCCTAAACTGCCTGATCACGTGTGTTTGTTAAAAAAGGCTTTGTATAGTTTAAAACAATCACCTAGACAATGGAATATTAGATTTGATAAATGCATGCAATCTTTAAAGTTTAAAAGGAGTTTTGCTGATCATTGCCTGTATTATAAGAATATAGACTCTGTGCCTGTATTTCTTGTAATTTATGTGGATGATATGTTGATTGTTAGTCCTTGTTTGAAGTCTATTAAGTATGTTCAAAAAGGTCTTTGTGAAAATTTTGACATGAAAGACTTAGGTGATGCTAAAAGAATCTTAGGCATGAATATTATTAGGGACAAAAATAAATCTACTATACTTTTAAACCAAAGTTCATATGTTGAAAAATTTTTGAGTAAATTTGCTATGTCTAATGCCAA